GATGCTGCTGCTGTTGTTGCTGCTGCTGCCGTTGCTGTTACTCTTATTGTTGCTGCTGCTGATGTTACTGTTGCCGCTGCAGTGGCACTTTCTGGACACGCCAGCGCTGCTGCGCCTGCAGCAACTTCTGGCATTTTTGCTTTGCTGCAGCAACGAACAATTGCTGCTGCGTGTCTGCTGCTGCACTTTAGGTTAGAGTCGGAGCTGCAAGCAGCAAGAGCTGAAGCTGCGTGTCTGAAGGAAGCAGCAGCAGGGAGCCGCAGCAAGCAGCAACAGTTGCAGCAGCAGCTGGAATTCAAGGCAGCAGAGCAGGCAGAAGTTCTCTCTATTCTGCAGGCTGTGTGGCAACAGGCAGAGGCAGCAGCAGCAGCAGTATCTCGGGAACTTTCGAGCAGCAAAAGCAGCAGCAGCAACGGAAGCAGCAACATCAAGAGCAGCAGCAGGAACAGCAGCAGTGCCAGGAGCAACGACAGCAGAAGCGCCACCGCAGCTCCTCCACCAGATGCACACAACAACAGCAACGCCGCCAACAGCAGCAGCAGCAGCAGCAGCAGCAGCGACAACGTGCAGCAGCACGCGCTGCGTGTAGCGCGTGGGGTTTCTGTATTGCAGAGCCTCCTAGGCGAGTTGCGGCGACGGCTGCTTGAGGCTGAGGCTGCCTGCGAGCAGCAGCAGCAGCAGCAGCAGCGGCTGCAGCAGCAGGTGCAGCAGCAGCAGCAGCAGCTGGAGGAGAAAGACAAGGAGCTGCTGCAGGAAAGAGACACCTCCGCACGGCTGCGCAGGCAGTGCAGCGCAGCAGCAGCAAAAACGAAGCAGCTAGCTGCTGCTTCTAAGGAGTATCAGCGAGCAGCACTAGATCTGGGATTAAAGACTAGCACTCCGCAGAAGCTGTGGGGCGCAGCAGCAGCAACAAAGGCAGCAGCAGCAACAGCCGCTGCAGCGGCTGCTGCGGCTGCTGCGGCTGCAGCTGCGGGCACGGCAAAGCCGGCTGCCAACACGCCAGATACTGCTGCTGCTGCTGCTGCTGCTGATCTCAACGCCCCGATTCACTTGCCGCTGTTGCTAAGCAGCAGCAGCGTCACACAAGCAGCAGCAGCAGCAATAGCTTCGGAGGCCACTAGGCTCTTCAGTGCCGCACAGCAGCAACAGCAGCAACAGCAGCAGCAACAGCAACAGCAACAGGCACTAGGCTGCCAGGGTCCATCAGTTCGGGCTTCTGACGTTTTAGAGACACCTCAGCAGCAGCAGCAGCAGCAGCAGCAGCAGCACGGGTACCCACATCAGATGGCAATGCTGCTAGGACAGCGAATTGGGGACCCCGCTGAGAAGCAGCAGCAGCAGCACGATATTGGTTTGGAGAGCTCACAAAGCTTTGCGACAACTGCAACAGAACCAGCAACTGCTGCTGCTGCCTCTGCAGCAGCAGCAGCAGCAGCAACACAAAAGGCCAACAACCCACTTCAAGAAACCCATGAAGAGCCAGCAGCTGTGCGCAGAGCAACGTCTGCATGCAACACGCAACAGCAGCAGCAACAGCAGCAGCAACAGCAGCAGCAGCAGCAGCAACACTGCTGCGGGCAAGTCTGCAGCGTAGAGGGCTACGGCAGCAGCTGCTGCTGCATGTGGGGTGCTGCTGCGTCTCCTCGCAGCTGCTGCTGCGCTGCCATCCCTCGCTGTCCTTGCTGCAGGGATGCTGCAGCAGCGGCTACAGAGTCGTCGTCATCAGCAGCCGCAGCAGCAGTAGCAGCAGCGGCTGCTGCTGCTGCTGCAGCTGCTGCTGATTCTGGAGTCTGCTGCTGCAGCGTCACCTCTGATGAGACCAGCTCAAGACACAGCAGCCTGCGGACAGACCTGAAGCAGCTGAGGAAACTGCTGCTGCAGGACCCCAACCGCCCTGCTGCTGCGGCTGCTGCTGCTGCTTCTGCAGCTGCTGCTAGTAGCACCAGAAGAGACACAAAGACAACAGCTGGCTGCTGCACCCGCTGCAGGGGCTCTGGGGAGGGGCTTCGTGCTCAGCAGCACCAGCTGCTGCTCCTGCAGCACGAGCAGCACCAGCGGCTGCAACAACAGCAGCAGAAGCTGCTGCAGCA